GGTAGGATCTACGAGAGGTATTTGAATGGGTGTAGCAGTAGGAGCGTGGTCGACCGTAAGAACAGTTACTCCAAAGCATTCATTGTACTTTGTTTCCGTGTTTATCTTTTCGGGTCTTCACCTGCTCAGAACTGGTTCTACTAGTCACTCCCCGTAAAAGGTTCTACTTTACTCCTTCGTCGGAGCACTACTGCTTTCAAGAGAAACATATTACATCGATCATTTGCAATTGTTCCATTTATAATGTATTAAAGTACTTACGACTTTCATAGTTCATGTGTAAATTTTATTGAAAATATGAATAGTATGCAACAACATTTTTTTATAATTATATTCTATACCTAATGTTTTATTTTTTCAAATACTAATAGAGATCCTTTAAATAATCATTTGACCATTTTCTCTTTGAGTATCGCTAAAATAGAATCATCGCCACTAAATACATTTTGTAAACTACATGTTCATGAATATCAGTTACAATGCTGCACATTCTACGTTTAATGCACGAAATTCATCTGGCATGCGCGCGGCAGGTAAAAAACGAGTTACACAACGGGAGACGATGATGATGATGTTGCGGGCCCGTTCGTACAGTTTCGTTTTTGTTTTGAGACGCGATAAATAATCCCGAGATCGTCACTCCCTGAACGCGGAAATTCAGCGGAGTAAACATTGTCAATTAATTATTTGATTTGTACACGGCTGATTGTGTACTTGTAAATATTGGCCAGCGAGCTTGGAGGCCGCTGCGAAAATGCAGACTTCGGCGGCATGGCGATTCGCCAAATAAACACTACCCATTATGTCTATTATTACATACATGTAGGTGTCGGTTTGTATAACTGAGGATAGGTACAATCTAAATTCGTGAAAGTAACGGAATATGCGACACTTTTGCAGTTAGTAAAAAAAAAAGCCCGATTTCTTTCTTTCCGTGATTTATATCTTTTGGAACAAAGTAAAGCTCACAATCTAAGTACAGTTTTGTCAAATATAAGGTGTATTAAAAATGATTTTATTTTCATCTTCGTACATTTTTGTCTTAAACTGTTTTCTATCACGCCGCTTATAATTTCCAAAGAATTATGAAATAAGGAAGAAAATATTTTTCTCTTCCTTCCTCGCCTCTTCCTTTTTCTACCGTAAATGGGAGTCTGCTTTCTAAGTTTCACGCGTGATAAAGAGGCGTGCGCGTCCTAAATTCGCTGGATACATGAAATATGTACTGATTGACTGTAACATGTTCACTGATTGTGAATGGAGGTAACTTCGGTTTCGTAATAAAGGACTAGAAATAAGAGCAGGCTTGCGGAATCGACAATGAAAATTCACGACTCAACTACGATTCCTCTTCTTTTTTACTTCCGATTCTGACTCCATGATAAATAGCTAAAGCTATGCTAACAATAGAAGAAAATAAAACAATAAAATAATAAAAATTATGATGCCAGTGACAAAGAAAATATTTATTATATACTATGTAAAGTAAATATACATTATGCAGTTTATTATAAAATTCAAAGTTACATATTCTGTACAATAGTTATAAGAAAAATAGAAATAATTTTTATTAGAACTTTCAATCATTTTAAATACAATTTTAACTTTTGTAGAATTTATTAATCGACATATTCTCTACCAACTCTGACTGCAGCGAACGGAAATTCCTTCGAAACTCCGACTCTACAACCCTGAATAAGAGAGATATTAGAGAATCGCTGTGGTTGTATCACGAACGACCTTAAAGATAATGCAATTTATATCCCTGACCTAAATAAGCGTATTGGCGCGTGAATAATTATTTAAGCGAGTCCTGTCGCGTTTTGCGCTAGTTAGTCGAGAGTTATTGCCGATCGGGGCAAGGCATAATTTGTCCTACCTCCTTTTGTACTCATGCAAATACTGTTGTTACACGTTCCTCTAACGGGTGAATTTGTATCATTGGACCTATGCATAATTCATGTAGAACATATTTACTTGCAACCAAGGGATCATAAAACGGAACTAATATTATTTGAATTTCTAATTAAATTTGAATTTCGAGGTTTTGTTTTTGGATTAAAAGTAATGAAAAACAGACAAAGAACATCTTTAAGAAATAACATTTCCGAGCATGATTCAGGTGTTTTGCCAGATACTGGAACTCTGCTTTAAGAAAAATATTTATCCGAAGGAGCGATTGATACGTTACAGAAATGTAGCTTGTGCAAATGTTCATTTGACTCATTCTTGATTCATTTTTCTTCTAATTCCCACAGAGTATTAGATTCTTATTTCGTTTCTTTTCTCGTCTACTACTTGCGCTGTCTGGGAGCTAAAATCATGTTTTTAGAAGAGATAAAGAGGAAAGAATTCGAAAGAGGGTACTGATCTCTGAATGTATAACGAGGCCAAAGGCGTGAAACAAGTCGGTAATGATTCTTATTAACGCGCCAACAAAGAGATCATCATTTACGCTCGGAGGACGGTTTACGAGACCGTGCAACTACGTATTCTCTGAAACGTAGTATCGTCTGAAACATTTTCATTCTCGCAAATCCTTCTCTGGCTATTAAAGCAGCAGGAGAAAAAAGGGATTGGTAGAAAGCTGCGGCGAAGATAATAGATTTCCCTTTAGCTGATTATCGTTGAATGAAAAGAAACGTTGCCGATGATAGTGATTACGGCTACGAGATTGACGATCACGTTGCTTCCAGCGACGAGTGGTCTAATAGGAACGACATATAGAAAATTGATTATGGTTGCGGTTAACTGGACATACGAATAGAACATGGAGAAAGGAAATGTTCAATCTCGCAGTACAAATATTATCCTAAACTAAAAAATACTTTTGTGATAGAGAGTAGTAAACTTTTTAAGAGATAGATAATCAATTCTATATATGATAAAATTATAATAACATTAGGTCGGTACTAAAGTTCTTGCTTGATTCGAAATGAGATATTATTTCCTTCACATTATGGTAAAATTTGTTTATTGAGTCGTATCAGGTTTCTCTCATTCTTGAAACGTGCAGGTAGATTTTTTCGTAGAAATTGGAGATCGACCAGATGGAACTTGTTCGTTTAGACCAAAGTTACAATTTTTAAATCGAGCCAATCATATTTTAACTGTTTAGTGAACAGAGGTCAAGAGTACAGTCCAAATGTATGAATTCAAGCTTTTTCGAAAATTAAATTTTCTTCCTTCATACTGAGAAACCATTCTTATACGGAAATCAATCTAAATTAATAGTGTCTGAAACTAATGAGAATATTGTCTTTCGATAGGTTCGTAACATAGTGATAAAAAAATATCATTGCCGAAGTACGATGATATCTGATCTATCTCTAAAAATGGGGCACGAGCTTATGCATTAAGATCAGATAATAATAGTAGTAATAATAA